GTCGGAAGGCACTCGTGGGAATATTCTTCTATACTTATCATAGAGATGTTCTGATTCACATAATCCCCTAATAATATTTTCGTCTTCTTCTATATCTGTCTCTTATACACATCTAGATGTGTATAAGAGACAGCCTGTGGAGGCTGGGAGGCTAGTCCATTGTCTACGTGATGGTCCTGGACAGCGACCAGATTGAGTAATGTCAACGCGTTCCTTGTTTGGCCCGGTAGAGGTATAGTGAAGCATTCGGCCCTCCGGTATGACCAATGATCATCCTGAGCAGCCCAGTTTTTCCAAGTCAAAATCCCATTTTGGTTCACCTCCACCATCTTCTTCTGGGGGTCGATCCAAAGCTCACAGAAGGCAGCCACAGTTTTCCTCTTGGCCTGCCCCTCCCTTGTAGCCCCTACCACCTGCCTGAGTTCACTGCTGGTCTTTAAATTTTCAGGGCATTTGGCTATGCCAAACAAAAATGAAAAATCGCCAAAGATGGAAGTGTCGAAAACGTGCTCGCGCACTCACTAATTTTAATTCTCATTTGATTTTTCCTTATTTTTACTATCAGTACTAGGCTACCAGAGTGGCCCGGGGTCACTTGCCCGGCCGGGCCAAAACAAATTAAAATTTTTAAAATTAAATTTGATTTTCTATTCAAAATTTGGTGAAGTATTTCAATGTGACCCTGAGGCAAAAGTTGTTCAGTTTTATTTTTTTGAATAACATAGTTTTTTGTCGGACTTTTTGAATTTTTTTTATTATTTTTTTTTTTGCTGGGACCTTCCCTGATCCTTTCACGGGCTGGCCACCCGAGACCCGGGCGGCCCGGCTGGTAGCCTAGTATCAGTATTTATTTTTCGTATTTTATTTTTATTTCACAGTTGGTAAGGAATTTGGATGTAGTGCTCAGGCAAATGTTGTTAATTTTAGTTTTCTTCATAACTTTTGCTTTCAGTCCTTTTTTTTTTTTTTTTTTTTTGGTCCAAGTTTGGCCCGAACGGCCGAACGCATCCCCACGGGTCCCGTACGTTCGGGCGTTCAGGTTTGGGTGTTCGGCCCGTTCCGAACGCAGGTTACCCTGTATATATATAATGAGTCGGTGAAACTCCGACGAAACAGTTTGTCACAGCCCCTCGTTTGTTGTCCTCTTCTCTCTCTCTGCCTACGGTTTACCGGGCAGTTCTATTTGTGACGATATATATATATATATATATATATTGCCATCATCTTGTGTTGCTGACAAGGGTTTAGGGACTAATATATGCGGAAATTTGTGGATGTGCTTGTGATGGCATCATTGTCGTTGGTTCCCATGCACCTACCACCAAATCAGAAGAGTAAAACTTGCCTGTCGCTGCAGCAGAAAGGCAAGGGAAAAAACCCTCAACAGTCATCAACGAAGACTTTCCACAGAGGCACATATATGCTACGGCCCCGTGGCAATTCTTCCGCTTGCACATTTGGCTTCCCCCAGAGCAGCTCGGCTTCTTCGGTCCCGCCCATCTGGATGAAACCTAAGCCAAAGCGAATGCGTAAACTTGCCGACCTTCACTCTATTGCCATCCTTCCGCCTGGAAGCTTGGGAGGAGGAGAAGGAGGAGGAGGAGGAGGACGCGGAGAATGCCAGGAGCTAACTTGTGGTGCCCGGAAGTTGCGGGCGTGGCAAAAGCTACAGAAGAGGAGGACAGATAGAGCTGTGAAGGTGCACAGCAAACCAGAAGGGCATTTCGGCAAACCAGGAGGGCCCTTGAAGGCATTTCGGCAAAAAAAAAACGAGAAACCCAGCAACCTAGAGGCAACTGGCGTTAACGGGGTGGTTGCGACCGTCAGGAAGGGGGTGATGGCGAAGCAAATGAAAGTGAAACAAGAAAAACATATGACCACTGCGATGATGGAAACACGACTATCCATACCACGCGGCAGGAAGAATGACTCCAAAGCCATGGAGGTCAAGCGGTCGTCAGGCACATCGGAAGAAGTGCAACCAGAGAAGAAAGAAGGATCTGGGACTGCACTGAGGACAAGGAGGAAGTCCACGGAGGGGAAAGGCGAACCCGTTCCGAAGGAAGGAGATGAAAAGACAACTTCGAGTGTACATAAGGAGGAATGCAAGCAGGCAGAAGGATCGGATCTGGTGCTGAGAATCCGCCGGAGGAATCTCATTCACGGACAGGGTGAATCGTCGAGATTGAAGAAAGGCAGTGGTGCTATCATGGCGAGTGACGATACGAATAGATTGGCGGCATTGGAGGAAGGAGCAGTTGTTTCAGATGCATCGGGTGAGATGGCAGGAACACCGAGGAAGAGGACACAGGGCGAGGGAGAGCCTGTGTTGAAGAAGGGGCATGTTGCATGTGACAATGAGGAAGTGTCTAGTTTATCTAAGGAACAAGAGAAGCCAGATCAATCCAGTGCTACACTTCTAAGAAGTCAGCAGAAATGTGTGCACCCTGAGGAGGAGGAGGAGGAGGAGGAGCATGTGTTCAAGAATGGAGGAGCAGAGTGCGATGATAAGGCAGCCTCCAGGCTTGAGAGGGAGAGTCATGAGGAGGGGATGATATCGGAGCGGGGGGCAACAGGTATGCAAGCATTGGAGTTGGAATATACACAGTCTCAAAGCCATCGAACTTTGTCCAGGGTCAAACACCCAGAAGGGTGCAACTCGTTTTCTGAAGAGAAAAGCACGTCCGGAGGAGTTAGCGTCAAGGGCAAATCATTGACTCACGGCAGCACTCTGAAGATAGAAACGTCAGAGGGCCTGATGACCCCTGCATGTCCTACTGTGGAAGTAGCTGCTTCATCAGCGGACATATGTGCGAAGACTGTGAAGAGTAAAGAAGCTGGGAATGAACTGTGCTCCGCAGCCGCCCTTTCGAACAGCACTCCTGATAACAGTAAGGACGTCATCAAAAAAGCCCCTGCTACAGGAGGGTTAACACCAAGCCATGACGACCCCATTGGGAATGGGAATGGGTCAAGCAACTTGCTGCAGATCGACAACGGCAAGGATTGCCGATTCTCTTCTCAAGTGGCAACCTTAGACCAGAGCGTCGAGCAAGAGAAGGAGGTGCTTGTGGAAGAAGGTGGGATGCCCGGCTCTCGTTTTCTGTTTTTTACTAGTGCCTTGCCAGTGGGCTCTGCAGGCACGGAAAGAGGAAACATGCAGCAGAGCCGACGGGAGGGTGAGAGGTGTATTGTGCATGCTTACTCATGGGTCAGAAAGAGGAAGAGGGTGGAAAGTGCTGTGCATCATCATCAGCGGAAGCTCCTCTGTGTTGTAGCGAACACCGACGGGGACGGCAACGGCGACGGCGACGGCGACGGCGGCAGCGGCAGCGGCAGCGGCAGCGACAGCGGCACTCCTCGAGACAGAAAGAGACCAAGCATGCCATCATGGGCAATGGTTCCCAAGGTGCATGAAGGGGATCAAGGGGGTGTAGCGATGGTGGAAGATCCAGCTCGTTTGAGGGTCTCCAATGCACAAGCGACTTGCGGTGATGGCCCTAGCACTGCCCGGGATGCAGCTGTGTGCGGAAACATGGCAGCGGACAGGCCAGGCGAAACCAACAACCTCAACTACTGGGACAGGCATGCATCCGGACGTCTTTTCGTGCACTCCAGCGTAGGAGCAAGTGGTCATGCGGGAGAGAGCAGGACGATGGTCCAGGTTCAACAGAAGCAGCCTATTACATCATGTGAGGAGAGTAGGACGGAAGGCAGCAGGCAGAGGGATGCGACAGGGAGCTTTGTTGTGGAGCCAATCAGGAAAGCTGTTCAGGCGCAGCAAGGGAGAACAACCCCTCCCCCTCATCTCATGAGGGGGAAGCAGGACCCCAGAGAGGATCGTAATGAGAGAGAGAAACAGACAAAGGGTGTCGGTAAGGCTACCACTGGCATGGAGAAAGAGCCAGGAGGGGAGGAGGGAGACATACCAGGGTTAACCAGATGCTCGTCACCTACCACTATGGTACAACGAAAGGAGATGCAGAATGGGCATTGTGCCAATTCAATGCATGACGGCGGGATTGGAGGAAGAGAGGCAAGAGAAGGGAGCTCCGAGAGTGCAGTTCTGCACATAACTGCGGACCTAAGAGGAACTGACAGTTGTATTGATGGGCCATGTGTGAATGGCGCCGTTCCGCTCGTCACTCTGGATATAAGACGAAGTGAAAGTCGAATCTCTGGACATAATGCAGTGGAATCACCAACTTCGGAGTACTGTCTGGCCCAGAGAGAACAGGACGGTACACTCCATCACATCTATGATGAAGCGGCAGACACAGGGGTTGTGCAGGCAGGAGCACCCTCCGGGAAAGCATGTGATGAAAGCCATCTACATCAACAAGATGTACAAAATGAATTACGGCTGTTGGATGAGAAGGAACAGGATGCTGCTGTTGGGAGTTGTCCTTCCGTGAGGAAGTCCGGGGAAACACATGCCACAAATACAGATGATGAGCCCCACAATCGACGCCTCCTTGCCAGTGACAGAGGCTGCGGCGACATTCTTCCATCAAGTGTGTGTGAAAGCGATCCCTTCAGACATAGGAACCAAACAATCGATGTCCCAGTCCCATCGCTGGAAAGGTCCCATGGTCAGCGGGACACGGTGGACTGCAGAGACACTTCTGCAATGGAGACAAGCGCTGCGATGGAGAAGACATGGAAAATGGAAATGCCACAGCGGAGGTCGACAAGAGTACGGAGAAGTACCGACACCACCAAATGTGATGGTATCTGGTATGCAGGGGAGCTGACCCTCAAAGCATTTGAGCGGCGACGCATAGTGAAAAAGAAGCCCGTTAAAGCGACCAGCTCGCTAGGTGAAGTTGATTGTCAAGTTCCTTCGCAACGGGGTAACGAGCCAACATCCACGGTACCGAACCTGCGTCCTCCAGCGAGATGTCAAGGCGGTTGCAACAAGGCTTTGCAGCTGCACCACAGAGCATCCTTTAATAGCCGTCACTGGAGCTCTTCAGAATCTTTATCCCAAAACCAGGAGGGAGAGCTGAGAAAGCCATCCTCTTCGGTCAACAACGACTCAGACTCAGGCAGCGCACATCGTCATGGAGATGGACATGGGCAAAATGTAGATGGGTGTATACAGGAGGACAATGCTAAGCCTACGAGGGAGGAGGAGGAGGAGGGCGGCACAACAACTAGTGAAGCAGAGTGGCAGAAGAAAAGGCGTCCAGAGCTGTGCCTGCTTCTCAGCACATGTCGCCAGTTTGGGCAGGTTTTGAAATCCCTGGCAAATGAGCGCATATGCAGCGATTCGAATGTGTTCGGCACATCAACACGCTCGAAGGGTGGAGAAGGCGGCGATTGGGGGCGGATGCTTGAAAAGAAGCATACGCTGACAACGAATGGACGCATGGGCAGGAGAAACGCACGCAGGGAGAGCCATCTCTGTCCGCACTGTTCTCGTGTCTACAACTGTGAACCTCGTGCGTTCCACTGCCATGTCAAACTCTGCTATCTGAAGCGATCTGAGATTGGAACAAAACCAACAGGGCAACACGATAAGACCGAGGTGGCTAGAAATAGACGCAAAGGCATAGCTAAACGACTGCCCGCAGTGGGAAATAGTCATATGGATGACTCAACGGGGCGAAAGGAGTGGGAAGAGCCATGGAGAGTAGTTCCGATGACAGAAGACCATGTAATCGGCCGCCATGTCCCGTCACTGTGTGCTGATGTCAATATGCGCGAGATGAATGAGCCCGAGAATCACAGACATAGCGTATCTGGTTTACATAGGTTGACTGCGCTCGCGAGTGTTGTTGAGGGAATCACTCAGCAGGAGGAAGCGGCTATCGGCTCTCTGCTCAGCTTCTGACACAGACCTACTGTCTTTGTGTAGATGTGTCTCTCTGACGTAAACCAACTACAACAGCTTCTGACGTAAACCGATTCTGCTGTAAACCGATTACAACAGCTCGTTGTCGAGGAGCACTACAGATTCAGCAAGAAGCCTCTACTCGCTCATAGAATTTCAACAAGACCATCGTGTCTGATAACATACTCATCGTCAAGATGGTTATGCTCCTGGCGTCGAGCATGGACGGCTACGAGAGTGAGGCATTCTACAGTGAGCGCGGAAATGAACACTGATATTCGAGTCTGCTAAACATCTGGCGGAGAATCGTCGTGGCTACGTTCGACATACATTTTCCTATTCTACCTCCGTCATGATACATTTTCCCATTCTGGACAAGAGAACGGTTCGTCGACGAGAAATGATGAAGCGGAAGCGGGTAAGGAAATGTTACTCGCAGTCGTCATCTTCACAAGCTCGTCTACAGCAACGAGAACCAATGTCCCAATAGAGCATGCATCTCATCTTGGTCCCTGCACTCCACATCCTCTGTCAACGTCACAATAGCAACACCAATCAGAGACGAGTGGGAAGACGACCGAGTGGAGGGAGGTGGTTGCTCTGCTGCTCCCAGGATACCTCCCATGTCTCCTACGTGCTCGTCCGCTTATCCATCTCCCCTACCACCCACCCACTCTCCATTCGACATCCAATTACCGACCTGCTTGCTGCAGGGAAACAACATGTTACTGGGAGAGAGGTTCGAGATGACAGAGTCACCCACCATCTCTCCCACCTCCACGAGGACGTCTAGAAGCTTCTAGACTCCTATCGAAGTCGCTGATGGCTCCGTAGCATCATCAAATGCTGCAGGGCGCACAGAAGGCCATTTCCCCCCATACACTTAGTCAGGCAGGCTCAACCTGTCTCTTCTGCATATGCAAGGCGAGTTTCCAGGGGGGGGGGGGGGGGGGGGGGGGGGGGGGGTTTCCCCCTGCTTTTCCAATGCCAGGCCTGTTCCTGGATGTCATCAGGTCACCCATCTCCTCAGAGTCTCAAGGCATCATGGAGCGCTGGACGCACGAAAGACATGTTAGCAAAGTAGCAGTTATGTTTTTTTCCCTTTTTTCTCTCTCTGAAGCAGAGTAGCAGCCCCGAAGAGTATTGTAATAATTGTATTCGGCTCTTTTCTTTATGTAAGTATTGTGTTCATCTGATTCCATGAGGATTCGAACTCATGATCTGTTTATTACCACCGCTTGGTACGTGTATACCATCCATCCATTCATCCACATGGGGTGGATATGTTAGATGTTTGTTGTTATGCTGTGCAGATATTGGATTGAAGCGTGACAAAGCGATCGATCTGCTGTCACTCGAGAACCCTAAACCCTAAACCCACAACCCTTAACCCATCTTCTCATTTAAGTTAAGTAACTACCACTTAGATAAGTTGATTCTCCCATGCAGCCACATGGATTGGGCATGTTAACATTATCTTCTTGCTCAGAGATTGGCCGAAGTCGTGGGCTCAAACCATCAGCCCATCTTCTCATTTTAATGACGTTAGCGAGACTCCCACTTTCCCGATCTACCATCTTACGAAACCACTGCCAAGGGAACGGTCTTGGAAGAATCAGCGGGGAAAGAAGACCCTGTGGAGTTTGACTCTGTTTGGACACTGTGCAATGACTTGAGAGGTGTAGAAAAGGTAGGTGCTTTTTCTCTTTTTCTTTTTTTTTAAACTTGAGCAGCGTTCAGGCGAGTATGCTTAGAGGGGTGATACAAGCATCCCCTTTAAACCGCCAGTACACAGCCCCAGCCTTGCTGAAAAAGAAACTCGTCACCTACGACAATTTTGGAGGGTTGGCCTTTCGGACCACAATGACTGGTGGCGCCAGCCAAAAAAGAAAAAGAAGTGCGCCGTCGGCTGCTTGAAAAAGCTCGGCACGCAGTAAGGCACCTGCCGGCCCGGGTGTACTGGTGGTTTAAGCAGTTCCCGGCGTTGAAGGCTCCATCTCTTGGAGTGGAGCTGCACCCTACAACGCAAGTGAAATACGACAGAATGGAGTGAACGACTCTTAGCGCTCTGGGACTTGCCAATCCACCCAACTGTCCCAACGGCGTCTATCTGGTTCAATCAAATGGGAAAATAGCTTAGTTGGTTAAGAGTGCTGGTCTGTCATGATCGAAGTCGCGAGTTCAAATCCCGTTCTTCAGGATTGGGCGGACTCGTGATCTGTTCATTACGCATCAATAGATGTGTTTGCGATTCAGCGACATCGACTGGGTATGTGAATAGCAGTATGTTGTTCCGGTTTCCATTTCTAAACATATCCGCGCAGTTATCTTACTATCTTGTTCCTGTTTCCAGTTCTAAACATATCCGCACAAAGAACCGCCCCCTGGATGAGTGGACCATAGGCAGAAAGGGAGAAAGGAGGAGAAATGGGGTTTCCGAACCGTTTTTCTTATGTATATATATCGTCAAACAGATATATATATATATATACAGGGTCACCAGCCCGTCCGTACGGAGGTCCCCGGGCCGACCTCTGTACGTACGGGCGTTCGGGGTCCGAACCCGAAGGCATTCGGCCCCCGCCAAAAATTATTTCGGGGCCTAAAAATAAATGTTTTTCTCTGAATTGTTTTTTTGTGAGTTATCTATGATGTGCGCTACGTGCCTATAAAATTTGAAGTCATTTCGCTTTGCCAAAACAAAATTAAAAATCACCAAAGATGGCGGTGTCGAAACGTGCTCGCCCACTCACTATTTTGTTTTTTTTCACTTTTTACTTTTTATTTTCACTTTATTTCGGAGTCAAAAAAAAAATATTCTTTTTTGAGACTTTTTTAATGAGTTTTTTATTATGTGTTAGTACACGTCTGTATGTTTTTTTTTTTTTTTTTTTTTTTTTTGAAGAACAGCCAAGCAGAGGCTAGGGGTGCTGGTAAGAGCAGACACTGCTCGGCGCTAGCATCGCCCGGGAGGCTCCATCTATTGGTGGGGAGCAGCACCTGCTGGAAATCTGTCTCTTATACACATCTAGATGTGTATAAGAGACAGGGCTAGGGGTGCTGGTAAGAGCAGACACCGCTAGCATCGCCGGGGAGGCTCCATCTATTGGTGGGGAGCAGCACCTGCTGGAAATCGGGTCCAGCGTCCCTGAACATTGAACTTGCTCATGCGACCAATCATGCAGATGTGACGACAGCAAGTTAGCAAGCTACCAGGCTACCGGGCTTACCTTTCTCAATGAAGTTCGGAAAGTAGAGGTACGCAGTGGCCTGAGCAGCCTGCCTATCTGACAGTCGTTGGTGAGAGACGATATGCTCCAGTGTCACGACTGCAGCTAGAAAAACAACATGCATTTGTAATGACAGTCGTTATGATGCAGGTAAACTACCGAATTCACTTACTCAGAAAGAGGTTCTGCCGGCATGACTAACACAATAATCTGTGTTGCTAACCTACCTTACAGCCAATGGTAGGTAATGGAATGGACCTGTATCGTGACTGCAACTAGAGGAGGCAGCCTGCATTTGTGACACCAACAGGCTATCGGGCTCATCTACAAAAGGGAATTTTGGCAGGTAGAACTACAGAACCTTCTGAGCCAGACGCCCACATGCCAGCCTGTGGTGAGAGATAGACCTCCCTTCCGTTCAGGCAGGATGCTGCTGTTGTCGTGGTTTTTTTGTTCGACTATTTACAGCCCAGCATCGCATGCTGTCCTTTCCTTCAACCAGTGGGTCTGCCGGCTGTCTGTATGCTCAGTCCGTACGAACCCATGTCCCGCTTCGTTGCTGCTGTTGTTCAAAAAAAACAGTGTCAGCCTTGAGATGCCTTGTAGTTGTTGCAGTCCCATCCTTGTACAGTGAGATCATCTGCTGATGTGTGCTCAAACCGGCTGGCCCGATCCTGTGTTCTGGGCGGGGAGGGAGGAAAGTGGGGGGGTATTGGGTGGAGAGTCCAGGGGGAGGGGAGAAGGGTAAGAGGGTATTGGGGTCGGGGAGCCAAGTGGGGGCAAGGGTGGCAGGGGAGAGGGGGAAGAGGATGACACAGAAGGGTTTCGCGAGCACGATGAGGGCGGTGGAGGGCTGATAGGGGGAGGGCTCGACGAGAGGGGGGGGGGGGGGGGGGGGGGGGGGGGGGGGTAGCCGGGGGGAGACAGACGACATGGGTGGCGACATTTGCGTGGGCATGGGAGGGGATTGTACCACCTGTGGAGGCTGGGAGGCTAGCCCGTTATGTACGTGATGGTCCTGGACAGCAACCAGATTTAGTACTGTCAACTCGTTCCTTGTTTGGCCCGGTAGAGGTATAGTGAAGCATATGTGACGCCCAACCTCACGCCCAGGACCGCGGCCCGGTAGAGGTATAGTGCAGTCGCGCAGAAAGTCGCGTGATTACACAAAGTGGCTCGTCACATTCTGCCCTCCGGTATGACCAATGATCATCCTGAGCAGCCCAAATTTTCCAAGTCAAAATCCCATTTTCGTTCACCTTCGCCATCGTCTTCTGCGGGTCGAGCCAAAGCTCAGAGAAGGCAGCCACAACTTTTTTCTTGGCCTGCCCCTCCTTTGTAGCCCCTACCACCTACCTGAGTTTACTGCTGGCCTTTACCAAATTAGCATGAATGATTTCTACTAATTCCGCCTTGGCTTGATAGAGGCCAAAGACCGCTTCTTGCCTTTCCACTGAGCACCTTTCACGCCAGATAACCATGAGGACTGTCAACCTCATGTGTTTGAACAGGTTGCGCTGAAAGGGTGTCCATGCTGGGGGAATGTTCTTGCACATTCCTAAGAGGATAAGAGCAACGTCCCAGTGGAACACCTCGCCCATGTGCCACATCGCATCCCACCATTGCCACACTCTTCTTGCCATTGGGCAGTCGAGGAGGCAGTGCTCCAGATCTGCCCTTCGTGGTTGAGAGCCAGGTCCACAGTGGGCGGCGGGCGCAGATGGCAGATAGGACTCCCTTCGGCTTCAAGTTTGATTTCGTTGTTACCCAGTCCGGTGTCGGAAGGCACTCGTGGGAATATTCTTCTATACTTATCATAGAGATGTTCTGATTCACATAATCCCCTAATAATATTTTCGTCTTCTTCTATATAGGCGGGACATCGAGAGGGCACCTTCCATCTGTCTAGCAGGCACTCGTGGGAATATTCTTCTATAC